TTTTGTACTCAATATGGCGCAGGTTGCGTCCAGGATGACGTCAGTCGCATCCAAGGTGATGCGACCACGTCCAAGATGGCGCCGGCCACATCCAAGATCTATCAGTGCTGCAGTGAGCATAGAAGTGCTGATATCTCTTCAAGACTGATTTTATTACCTTTGCACGTATACCCAGGAGTGAGATTGCTGGGTCATGTGGTAGTTCTATTTTTAATCTTATGAGAAACCTGCATAACGTTTTCCATGATGGCTGTGCCACTTTACATTCCCACCAGCAGTGTGCAGGGGCTCCCTTTCATCTATATCCTCACCAGCACTTGCTATCTCTTGTCTTTTTGATAATAGCCAACCACATGGGTGTGAGGCAGTATTTCGTTATGGTTTTGATTGCATTTCCCTGATGATTAGTGATGTTGAGCACTTTTTTTTTTTTGCTATTGAGTTGCTTGAGTTCCTGGGCACTGAGCTCCAGGCAGTTAAGTGCCAGGTCATCCAGCAGCAGAGTGTTGCTTGCTCTCTGTCCTGTATTGAAGAACATGCTGTCTTGCTTGGGGCCAGTCAGTGGCAGAGCCAGTAGTGAAGTCTAGGCTCCCCTGTTTCCCAGCCAGGGGCTCTTTCTACTGCTCTGCAATGCCCAGAAGCAATTTGGACATGACTGTTCATTCTCCATGTTTCTTGAGACTACAGAAAAAAAACTAAAAACTTACAGTGTATCTAACACTTAGGGTATGTGTTTATCTGGAAACCAGACTTAAGCTCATACAGGTAAGTATGTATGTTTCTAACCTATATTATTGCTATGTTTTCCAGGAAATCGAAAAGATGTGGTTCTTGCCCAGTCAGCTAAATTGTGAAAGTCTTAGCAGGAATCTTTCTAGCACCTTGGAGAGCTTCAAGAGCAACTTGGAAAATGCCACGGAGCAGGACTGCTCCTGTCAGCCTGTGCCGGAAGCTGCTCAGCAGCGCATGCTCATGGACGCTCAAAAGTGGGTCTCATGCCTTCTCCAGTGTTTTCATTCATAAAGATGTCTAGCATTTTTAAATTATGAATTTAGGACAGCAGTCTGTACCACATGCTATTCATATGCATACTAATATATGTGTATTTTCTAAACAACACCAAAGTTTTTAAATGGTAAAATATAAGAGCAGCATTATCATCAGGCTAACTTTATTGGTGATCAAAATATTAGATCAAAATGTCATGATCCAAGGTTATAATATGAGATTAAGTATGTTCTGTATGAACAAATATTTTTCAAATTACTTCATATTTACTATTTTTGCTCAGTGTTCTAGAAGTATAAACCATCAGAAAAGGTAACCACAGACTTTGTATTCTGCGGATGACTTATTCACAGAAAGAATGATGTTCACCTGACTCTTGCTATCCTAATTTCTCATATGTTCCATGATCTATTCTATCTAATCTTTTCACAGTTGTGAAAAGCCACTTATTACTCACTTTATTCCCTTGATTCATCTTGCCTGGCAGGGGCTCTGAGAAAGAAATATTGGAGTGTGGGTATTAATGGGTATTCACATACAGATGGTATCAGGAGACGTATTTAATTACTGGAGGAATTTTATGGAAATG